AGTTATTGCCCTTGTAATTTTTCATTCAAGCCCCCCTTAAAGCCCCCCTTCAAGCCCCCCTTCAAGCCCCGCTTGAAGCCTTCGACCCTTCAGAACCCCCCCCCCCGCAGCCCCCCCCTTCGGCCTGCCCTTCAAGCCCCCCTTCAAGGGTCCGACCCTTCAGGCCCCCTTCAAGGGGGGCTTGAAGCCCCCTTTCAAGCCCCCCTGCGTCGAAAGGGGGTGGGCCCAGCCCCTCGCCAACGGACAAAAATAAGGGGAGGGCTGACCGCTGCTTGCTGTTCAGGTCCTGCTCCGTCTTAGCTTAACCCGGTAGGAAACGGAAGCCCAAACCGGACGGTCACGAGCATGATCGTATGTGTTTGGGGTTTGGTAGGGACGCAACGGAACATCTACCGGCTCCTGCAGCATTGGCTCAGGACGGCCGGGTTTCCCTTTCTCTTCCGGTTCAGGTACGCCACTCGTTCCTGTCCGGCATGCCGACGAGGCTCTTGAGGCTCAACAGTCTCGCCGGCACGCCGCTCAGCACCGTTAGGGGTTTCTCTGTGATTTCCGGCCGTACCCGACTTGCTTCGGACTCCGAATCAAGTCTGCTACTGCCTGTTTTCACGCTTCAATCTTCCTGCTCTGGGGAGTTACGGTTGTTGGACTTCCGGTTGGATTTCCGGTCCACCAACTTCTGCCGACCGGTTTCAAGTAGCCGGTCAGTCCGTAGCTGCCGGTTTCCGACCGGTCCGAACACTGGACCGGCTGCCTGACTCGCTGGACGGTTTTCGCCAACGGACAAAAAAGGGGAGGGCTGACCGCTGCTTGCTGTTTAGGTCCTGCCCCGTCTCAGCTTAACCCGGTAGGAAACGGAAGCCGAAACCGAACGGTCACGAGCATGATCGTATGTGTTTGGTAGGGACGCAACGGAACATCTACTCCTGCAGCATTGGCTTAGGACGGCTGGGTTTCCGTTCCGGGTTAAAACTTTTGCCCGCCACCACCCCGGCGTGTCCGCCTTTCTCTTCCGGTTCAGGTACGCCACTCGTTCCTGTCCGGCGTGCCGACGAGGCTCTTGAGGCTCAACAGTCTCGCCGGCACGCCGCTCAGCACCGTTAGGGGTTTCTTTGTGATTTCCGGCCGTACCCGACTTGCTTCGGACTCCGAATCAAGTCTGCTACTGCCTGTTTTCACGCTTCAATCTTCCTGCTCTGGGGACTTACGGTTGTTGGACTTCCGGTTGGATTTCCGGTCCACCAACTTCTGCCGACCGGTTTCAGGTCGGTCAGTCCGTAGCTGCCGGTTTCCGACCGGTCCGAACACTGGACCGGCTGTCTGACTCGCTGGACGGTTTTCGCCAACGGACAAAAAAGGGGAGGGCTGACCACTGCTTGCTGTTTAGGTCCTGCCCCGTCTCTTAACCCGGTAGGAAACGGAAGCCTAAACCGAACATTTGGGTTCTGAGGTGTTTGTTTATCAACATTGCTTTCGGCTTTTGATTGAGGGCGGGCAGGACAACAGATCTGCATGTACGTTTGCCCCCGTCACATACTATGTTGTCCCGTCGAGCATATTCTGCAAGTGCAGTGCCAGCCGGCTTGCAAATTCCAAAGCCAAAGATCAAACCCGTCGACAAGAAACACGTCCGCGGTCAAACCATCTTGGTCGCATGCACAGCGGCGCAGGTTCAACTTCAAGTTTTAAGTATGAGGCCTGTCACGACAGTCTATTTGGGGATTTGGAACGCACCGAATGTTCTGACACAGACTTGTCCTATGAGTGCCATTGGTTTAACAACAACACACGGAGCAGCACCAACGCATGACATATTTTCGTACCTACATCCCCGAGATGGATCGTTTTTACATGACATCACTGTAGATTCGAAATCCGGGATTTCACCAGTTATTACAACATTTACGCTACTCAATGCCGCACCATCAACGACAGGAACTTTTAGCAGAAAGGGGTTTTCCCTTTTTGACGGGACCTAAACGAACAAAGTTGTCGTTTCTTCTGTGAAGAACGGTGAGCGCGCCTCGCAGCTTTCCAGTCGTGGGTTAGCAAGAACACGAATAGACTGTTGTTGACTGATTCAGGTCGTCTGTTTGCTGGTGCTGTCACAGGATTTCAACTAGCTTCCTTATGGGTTCCTGCGTTTTGGTTCCGATGCCACCCCAGGCCCCTCATGCAGCGCTCCACCCTATCACCCTTCTTTGCAGATAGACCCGCACGACAACCACCAGTTTGTTGCCCATCTTCTCCAACTTACGGCTCACTGTAGCGCAATGAACGTGTTGCAAGGTTCTGGACCCACAGCGATGGTAAGCCCACTTCTACGGTTCAGTCGGTCACAATGCAGGGATGAAGACGACTACGGTGACAGTCTGGGAGACTTGTGATTTGCAGCGCAGTGTGATGTAGCATGTAGCAGCGTAGCATGGCGACCCTGATTCCGATGGGTTGGATGCCAAGCTGAGTTTTGATTGGCACAGCGCTGCACATCTTAATCGCAAAGTTTGGGACGTGTCTACCCCCCTACCCCCGAAGGGTCCTTAAAAGGTTAATCCAAGTTTGAGCTTTGCAACCGTTGCTGTGTAGAGGCATGCAGAATTCGGTGGTGACCGGCATCGGTTTCCATGTGTGAGGTCGGAGGAAGTTGTTATGGCAGCTCGAGTCGTGCTGGACTCAGGTTTTGGTTTGTGCACGGTGCTTCGTGCATGCAGTGACCCCTTTACTTGACTGAGAAGTCCTAGTAGGTGTTCGATGCCAGCGTGTTCCGGGCATGACTAGTTGTTTCTGTACTGCTGAACGGCATGGCAGGTCTTGCACCAAGTTCTCCATGGCGAACAAAGGCTGTCACACAAAAACCATACACAGGCAAAATCTTTGGACAGACGTTGTGCTCTGCAGAAGGAAAGCTGCCAGGAGCAGCGTTCAAAGCCATAGAAGGACAGCGGCACTGGCATGCTACAGTTTCATTTCCCTGTCGTGGCACTTCCTTCAGGATCTCTGCTAGTGGTCTCGCGCTTTCGTTGGAGGTTGGCCGGCTCCTCAGGTTTTTTTGCTTGCATATTTGCATTACGATATGCATAACGATATCGCCCCCGGACTTCAGTGCACGGTGCCTAGCAGGGGCCACATGCCGAAACCTGACAAGGTCAAGAAGAAGAAGGCTTTTTGCAGACATTGAAATGGTCAATCGAGGCCGTATTCACAAAGATCGGTTTCTTCGGTGTCTGGCTCGAATCTTGTGCGTGCCTGTCAGGCACGTGTTCCAGGGGTTCACGGGCCGCCTGCAGGACAGCAAGCTCAACCGTGCAGGTCCTGAAAAAGGAAGGTGTCACGTCGCGACAGGAACCGGCGGCACGGGCAATGCTGGGGAGGTCGGTGTTCTGCAGTTGTAAACGTGATGACATCATGCGACCTGGGCAGCAGGAAGATTCCGATAGTCAAGACGGAGATGCCCGTGCCAAGGAAGGTCATGCGGCAACCGTAAGATGTCTTCTGAGTTCTCTTTCGTGGATAGCAAGTGAGGCGGAAGTCTGCCAGGTGCGTATGCAGGTGCTGCTGAGACGGCCAGCATGCGGTCCTTCGAGACGGGACTTTCGGACCAGGTCATTGGGTTGTTGTCATTGTTGTCAGTCTGTCGTGCATGTCAGCCCACTTCAACATGGCTCCCGATGTTGCTGCAGTTCGATACAATGTCTGACGAAGCTAACACCTGTTCTTGGGGCTCCCAGCATGCGTCACTTGTTTCATCGTACGAAGTTCTTCCTAACTGATTGTCTGCAAAGCTGTGTTTGTGCTGAATTTAGGCGGCTGTTGGTGCTACTTTGCAGGAATGCTCATTCTCTCTCTTTCTCTTTCGCACTTGTGTGTGAAGGAGAGGCTAGAGGAGTATCCGAAGCGGCACGCATCCAAGGAACTGCTGTATCGTGCGTTGCTCGTTCGTAGAGCCATGAGTTGCTGAGGCAATGTCGAATCATTTCGCCGAAAAATCCTTGGAAAGCTGGCCTCCCAGACATGAGTTAATGTTTGCAACTTTTTTCTCGCATTAGCTGAGATTTGCTGGGACGTCTTCGTTGGCATACTGATCATATACACGATCATCGCGATGACTTGGCGAATTGGATTTGACCAGGCGCTCTCCGCACTTTGTTTGCATGAGCGTGTTTGGAGTTCGAACATTCAGTAGACATGGCCAAGATGCAGTAAGCAAGGCATCGGAGGTGCCGAGCATAGAAGAGACGAGCAAGACAAGTTGTAAGCTAGACACCTCAGCTGCTGAGCATAGACATCTCAGCTGTCAAGCAGCCGGCAACCTTGCCATGCTTACTCATGCGATGCAAAGGCTTCGCCTGTGATTCGTGTTATCGAGCTGCGTACAACAGTCAAAATCTAGGCCCGGCATTATCTTTGATACCATCAAGTGCTTTAACTTGCGGCAGAGCTGTCAGGATTGAAACAACATTGGCAGGCAGCATTCTGTCGCAGAAGTTTTGAGATGATCACGAAAACCTCCAGCCCCAGACAGCTCCAGCTTGAACTCGTGTTCAGTTGAATTATGAAACATAGCCACGCGCTCCAGCACACCATCATTGACCCCTTGCCCTCTTGGTCATGTAAAACCATGCAGCTCAACCTGTCCGTTGCATCTGTTGGTAGTTGAAGAGATTCGAAGGCATTAGAGGGGGACGGATCCCAGACACGAGAGGATTGGAAGATGGCAGCACAAGCAAGAGGGCCCGAGAACGTCACGAAGAGGCTTTTCTGCCGCATCGAAGGAAGCAGAGCCACGGGCACCACCAGCGACGGCAGCGGAAGCCGGTGTGCAGGAAGTGTTGATAGCTTGAGCTAATCCATGCTTTAAAGAACTCATGAAATTCAGACAAATCTCATTGAACATCTCAAGCTCTGGGGCACTGCAGATGGCTGTAGTCAAGTGGTCCCCAACCTCTCGTACAGCACAGGGCATCTGTTTGGACGTATCGACGACGAAGCCACATGTCGAACGAGCGACGATTCCATCTCAACCCTAGGCCGTGGTGTCATGTAGGCTTCAGTCTCAACATCGGGCAGACAGGGGCCCCTTGAGCCAACGACCATGTCAGTTGGAATCAGATGATTGACGGAACGAGGCATTGTCAGGCGCCTGGGTCGTGCCACTCTCCAGCCACTGGCTGTTCCTCTCTACGTTCCGTTCCATTTGATCTTTCCGGTTGCCGCCTGTGCTGTACAATTGCATCACACTGGTTCAAGCATGCCTGCACAGAATATCCTGCCATCGATCGCAACCGATAACCGGATAATTTGCTGCCAGCAGTTTGGTAACAAATTGCCATTGTATGAGACCTGCAAGTAATCGAAAGAATAACTTTTTGTAGTGCCTCATCGGACCAAACAATCGTTGCAAACTCGGGCATAAACACAACCAAATGAGAGCAGTGGCCACGGGATGGACAAGCTGCAAGGCTAAAGCATCTCAGCCGTGCAAGGGAACATCATGCTCAACCGCAAGACATCGGGGCCAGTTCCCTGGCCCCCCTCGCAGAGGATCAGGAGGAACTGTGTTCATGGTACTGGGCGATCTCGTGATATCGTGCGCCTGCGTGGAGCATTGATGGTCTGGTATGTGGGGTTTGACAGGCGGCTGAAGGAGGAGCACGGATCTTCGACTACGCTGTCGATGCTGTCTTCGCCGTTCAGCACCCAGAGCGAGAGACCTGAAAGAGCTGAGCTTTGTACGAGTCATATGGTAAAGCATTTGCTGAAGTCACATGTGGAAGAGTTTCACAGCGCATGTGTACGGATCACAAGCCGCTGCGCTTCGTCGAACCGACGAGCCGGAGTCGTGACGCAAATGCATCAACCGGCGAAGGCGAAGCGAGCCGACATGCAGGGTTGGCTTTCCCGAGACACCGAAAACATTCAGGGACACTGGCTGATGCTTGGGATCGGCTGCACAGATGCTAAGTAAGGGGCTTGTGGAAAGAGGGTCAAATATGGCCTGCCAGGTTCGTCAAGATCAGATATGCGATTAGGGCATCTATGGTTGTTCGATGCCGGAATCGAGGGATTCATGATTCATGTTCCTTCTCGCGACGGTGAGCGGTAAATAATCGAACGACCACAAACCGGAGAATGTCTGCAGTCGAAGCGCGATAGTTGGGAGTCTGTGGCTGAGGTTGACACGGTTCTTTGCTTTCGCACGGGCTTCTATGCAGAGTCTGCTGAGGCTGGGATGGAGCATGGGTGTCCAGTGTTGGGAAATCTTCGAGCCGAGGACACCCTGATCACCGATGCCTGGGAGATTGCCAAGCGGCACACATCCCCAACATGTTTCGGGTATTTGGCTCGAAGCCTTGCTGCCAAGCCTTGTAAGCATGGAGGCATGGATGTAGACATGAACGTCTTCATAGCTGTCCGTCCATCAGTCCGTGGGTCGGTCTTTCTGTCTTTCTGTCTGTCTGTAGATGTCTATTCGTATGTCTAGCCCCCAGCAGCACAAACAAACAAAAGACAAGCAGTATGTGAGCAAATGCAGTTATGTGTTCATATACATGGATGTGTGTGAGCTATAAAGACCTGCACATACACAGGGACATGCAGTCCGATCGCACGCTGTCGTGTTCGAACATGTGTTCATAATTAGTCGCAAGCATGTATGCATACTGTATGCAGTATGCACATTTTCGTCGATGCATCCATCCTCACATATCTTCGTTTGTATAGACGTACAGACACCAAGCCATACCAAAACAGCCAGAGCTATCTGCGGTGCATGCTCCGTTAGTTGGGCCAGGCATCTTTCGAAATGAAGGCTGCCGGTGCTGCGCCAGCTGATAGGTACTGCATGTCCTACTTCCTCTTCGATCTTCTTTCGTGGCTTCCTATAGATTTGCTGGTACAGGCAAGCTTGCAAACTGCCGACATGGACTTTGGAGTGGCGTACGATGCAGGTCATCACCGGGCACAGCGGTGCAGAGATGAAGTCTGAAACCCAGAGGGGGCACTAAGTGCATGGTTTGCGACCAGCAGCAGGTGCGAGAAAGCGCGGTAAGTGCATATCGTTCTGAGCAGTACGTGAGATGTTCTATGCGCTGGTCCAGCGTCTGGAAGCAGCAGTTTCATTGCAGCTCTTCCTTGGAGTATTTCCTTTGAGTATTCGCATTGGGTACGCGAGGATCTCATGTTTCGGAAGGTGTTCAAAAAAGAGTTCATGAACCGTTGCCGTTTGCGAAATGCATAAGCCAGAGTGCTGAGACTGCGGCATGGCAGCTGTTGAGTTTCCAGGTCGGTGAAGCTTATGAAGTTCGTCAGACTGGTGAAGCCCTTACCTGTTTAGGTAATTCGTCGTGGTATTATTGCAAAATAAGTGTGACAATGAGCCGCCTTGCTTCCTCCGAGATCCGGCTTGCCAAGCTCATGCGGCTTTTCAAGCTCGGCAGGCTTTTCTCCGACTCGGTCTCCGAGTCTCGGTCTCTGTGCTGCCAAAAGGTTTCTGGCCATCCTCGAGGAGCAGCTGCACCTTAAACCCGCGATGATTCGCATGGCCGGGCTTTTGGCTTCCAAGAGAATCTTGCTTTGGGGTGGTCTCAAGGTGACCCGACAAGCCGACTCCAGGTGAGGCTCATCTTGAACATCGTCTTCCTGGCACATCTCCTGGCCTGCATGTGGTGAAAGCCTTAGCTTGTCGGAGAAGTGAGTGCTGAGTGCCGAGACTGAGACAAGGCACTTCATCGCGCTTCCTGCCTGCGGGGAGTCAGAGGAGATTGCAAGTCCAATGTATACTGCCGTCTAGACACTTCAGTAATTGCTCTAGATCTGTCAAGGGAACATGTCCAGCATGTTGAGAACATAAAGAATAAAGCATGCGGTGATTCTTTCCCGAAGTTGCGTCGTTTACAAACAGAGGTTGAAGGATCCCTTGCTTCCCGAATACTTCATGTCCACGAGTTGCGAGGCCAAGTCTTTTTTGGGCTTTGGGTTCTGCCAAGATCAGGCGCGCTGAAACAACTTACCACCGCTGAGATTCGGTTTGGGAATTGGTGAGGAAAGAACATGCGTGGCTTGCTGCACATTGAAGCACATTCTGACACAAGTGCACCAGGAAGCTCGTGTCTTGGCACTAACCTGAAATGCACGGGTTGAGAATTACTGCCAAGAAGCACCATGGTGCAGCAACCATATAGGCTTATAGGCTTTATAGGAGCATATCTGCTGAATAAAACCATTTCGCCCTTCAGAAAAATGACGAATGCTGCATCACAAGGCATTGTTCACAATAAGTCGTGTTGAAGTCACTCGGTCCAATCCAGCACCAAGTAAGGCGGCAAAGCTAACCAGAGACGAACAGGTACGGAAGAGGCTTGACAGCCGTAGCAGCATCAGCGGCAGCAGCAGCAGCAGCGGCCGTCAGGTATTGCCCATCGCATGTGATCGAACGGTGGTGAATTTGGTAATGAATTACGTAGTTCGAGAAAAGGAAGATGGTCCACAACGGTGCCGCAGGGATGCTGACAGGACACAAAAGCAGCCTTCGCCGCCTGCGATCGATCATTCTCATTCTGCAGCCACTTCCATAGGAGGCTTTCTATGTTAACATGTGACGATATAGACTGGGTTCTTGTGTCTTTAGTATGTCAATGTGTTGAGCATGGCTTGCTGCAGGATATGTCTTCGATCGGCCCCTGCTCAGACAGGTTTGATGATGGGTACATCAGTCCCAACTGGATCAGGCGGGGTTAGGGAATTTTGATGACGGTTGTTATCTGCCGTGTAGGTGTTCAGATGAGGGCAGCTGTGCTGTGGCCGTTTGATGTCAAGCCTTGGAACCGGGTCTGTCAGGCCAGGCCAAGAAAGGCCGACTTGGCTCAAAACCAGGTTGAAACCGCAGCTTCGAACAAAACCAGCGGCATGAGGTGGGGTGCCATGAATGCGCGGTTGCAGGTTGGGGTGATAGATGGACCATCAAAACGGACCATGAACTCAGGCACAGCTCCAGGAGTCTTCAAGACCTAGACCACAGGGGTTTCGGTGAGTTGATGGCATTTCTGGACTCGGAGTGGCACAGTGACAGCGGGCCTGCCGCGCAGCCGCGGCCTTATAGCTGGAAGGGCGCTTTGTGTCTGCGAAAGCGCTAGCCGCCGGGCTGCAGCGAGGCTCCGAGCCTCGCTGAAGGCTCGGGGCCCGGAGCGCCAGCGCTGCGCAGCCCTTCGCTTCCTCTGCACTCGCAAGGCCCTACTCCAAGAACTTGGTGCCAAGCGGGAGGAGGCCCGTGCCAAGGATAATGAGGAGAGCTTGGCAGCTTCAAGGGTGCGAGGAGAAGATAAAAACAGGGCAGCGTTGAAACCGAGCTGAACTTTGCAGGAGGCCGCCGAAGAGGTGGGATGCTTTGTGCAGGGTCGTAACTGCTACAGGGGAACAGTTCAGGCCGGCCGTCGGATGGCAGAAGAGCCAGACAGGCGTGGTCTGAAAGACTTTGAGACTGGTTGTCACTCTCCGCCTCGAGGCTGACTGGTTTCTCCTCCTTCACAGCTGATCTGGCGGCGCTCTTTGCAATCCCGGAAAGTCTGACTGCAAGCTTCGTGACAGCTCTTCAGGTGCTGAAGGAGGATGCCACCGGGTTTGAGCTTTGGATCGGGTCTCTCGAGGCCGACGGCAACGTGTTTCCGAAGTTCAGAGTAGCAGAGCCTTTGAAGTCAGTTCGGGGAATATGCAGGACGCGCTGAATCTTCGTGCCTTGCGTGACCGTGGAATTGATGCGGTCCTAAATTGTGCTGTGCGCGATTGCGACTCGCCTCTGAGAAGTGCAAGATTCAGCCATTCAGCCGCTCATTGAGTCGAGGTGAGGCGGAGATCGCGTGCTTCAAACCGCACAGGTGGCCGCTTCCCAGCGGTGCCAAGTTCGCTGCGTGCGTTTGCAACGTTTGCAGGTGTCAGCGCCGTGCGAGGGCCCATACCCGCAATGCATCGATGGGCATGGACCCACTGGGGCGGAGGGAGAGATGGAGAGAGCAGCTGTGCGGTGCTGTCCGGTGCTGTCCAGGGCTGTGCAGGGCTGTGCAGTGGCGCATTGCAGGAAGCGAAGCTTGGAGCCAGCTGGCTCGGCCTCCGAAGGGATCAGGCCTGGCCCCGCTTGCGCTGACCCCGCGTTTTTGCGTTTTGTCCTTGCGCACGCTCTGCCTCCGCAGATTTGGAGCCTGGCCAGCTTCGATGCTGACTGGTATTCTGATGTCTTAGAGTCCAGATCTCGGACAAGTTGAGGCAAGCCGCCTTCATTCTTTTTTGTGTTCTTCGCAGGCTGGATGTTGTGTACGAGGGACTTCCAGCAAAAGATGAGGTCCCCATCTGTGCGAACCATGAAGTTTTCTTCGCTGAGGGGATAGCAAGAGCAGGTCGGATATGACATGCGAGGGCACTGTCAGGAGGTGCTTCTTGCATGTTGTCGTTCTTGGAGCGCACGCTGTACTTTCTCGGCTTGTTCTCGCTGTCTCGCCATGCTGTCGCAGCCGCGAGCTTTGTGCACAACAGCCGTGCGATGCAAGAGTGACAGTGACATCAGTGACAACCTAACGCAAGCCCGTCGCAAGCCGATTCGTCCTTCGAAGAGGGTCCTAACGTCAGGGATGTCAGGGCAGGGTTTGGGACCGGGACATGGCATACTGTGGCGGCCAAGAGGGAACCCAGTGGCCTCCGGAGCCCCCGGAGCCTGTGGGGCCTCCGTCTCCACGGCCTCCGTCTCTCCGAAGCCGGCAACCCGAAGGCTGCTCCTACTTCTGGCTGTGCAGGCTCGCCATGGCTCGCTGCGATCGACCCATTCAGCCCTGAAAGCTCATACATCTCATACTTCAGGTCCTTCGACCAGGTTCCTGCAAAGCCAGACAGCGACGATGTGCCTGTGTAGAATGCAGCGAGAGCAGGCATCCGGTTGATGATCGGCTTTTGTGCGCACAGTTTCCACTGGCATAGGCTGAGCTGTGAAGAGTCTATCTCTGCCGAGACTTGACTTCACACTCAGTAAAGGAGTTTCAGGTTGTGACATGTGACCCTTTAGTTTCAACGAGCCAAGGTTTCCTCGAATGGACTCCGCTTCTTGTTCTTCACCGAACAAAACTTAAGCTGCCAAGAGCTACAAAGACGAGCAGAAGATCTGGTGGCAAAGTCGGCGGGCAGGCAGTGGACTTTGCACGTGTTTGTGTGTGCAAGGCACCTGGACGAGGCGTTTGCGGCATCTGTGAGTTGCGGCGAACAGGTTTCGTGCTTATGCCTTGACTTCGCGGATATTTGCTGGGAGAATTGGCGAGCCACCAGTTCCAGACTGCAGTTTTCTGGATGCATGTCTGTGTGTCTCGAATCTGCAATGTCGCAGCACGATCTGTTGAGATTCCGCTCTTCTCTTGAATGTCGACTGCCTCATACCTGCTGAAACTTGTAACACGACAAAGGATGGGAGCCTGGTGAGTGGTTCGCTGCTGTTGTGGAAGCCTCGAATCAGCATTTGTTTTTTCTGGCCCTTGGAATATTGAATGAAACAAACGAAGGATGTCAAGTAATCGCGACCAGAGATAATAAGGTCACGAGGTTGTGTCCTGTGACAGCTTGAGGAAGCCACCGGGCGCCCTGTGTCTTTCTACCACGGTGCTGCAGAGCAAGCTGATAGAACAACTTCCATCATCAAGTATTTGGAGGCAACACTGGTGGAGCCTGTGCAAGGCGCCACATCATGGGGTTTCAGTGACTTGCCGGTAATCAAAGGCATCCCCGTGCCAGAACAAACAAAAACACGAACACGTACACAGACACAGACACACACACACACACAGACACACGCAGACACAGACACACAGACACACACAGACACAGA